AAGAAATATTCCAAATATTAAGTTGACATCTAAATTTTTAAGAAGAGTCATAGTAGTCCCCAGAATAGTTAACTTGAACTCTCATCAGGGAATAACTTTATTAACTTTGAGGATACTAATTCAGCAGTGTATGCTAAAAAGCTGAATTGCATTTTAAAGTAATTTAGAAACCGTTATGAGGGTTTAAAAGTAATTACAGTGGCTGCCATCAAAAAACAGGAACTTTGCAAACTCACCATGTGCTACCAACATACCAGAGTTGTTCCAACGCCTGTTTATTTGCAAGAACTGTGCAGTGTGTTTCAGACACTAATGTGGTAACTGTTACAAAAATAAACAGGGAAGATCACGACTACCTTATAACATAGCACTGAAGGTGTTAGAGGTGAACAATTTATGTTGTTTTCTTCTAATGTACACAACATTCACAAAAGCACAAGTCAATGAGAGTTTTACTGTTTGCTTCAGGAAAAGCAGTTAGACTCAGCCTTCTGAGTTACACAGCACTAAGTATGCTCATGTTGGCAGAAAAAGCCAATCTTTTCTTTCAAGGTGAACACCTAATTCCTTAGGTTTCTTCTGAAAATMCCTGCAGTTCTTTTAAATCAAGTGATTCAGTTGAAGGCTTAAGCTAGATTTTTGGGAAACGGACAGGCCCTGCTCCCCTATGCTCGGCTGGAAGGAGGTGCTCTCTAAGCAGCAGCAAGTCTCGCCTTTTCCAGCRCTGCAGCCTTCCTCCTGTCGCCGCTGGGGGCCAAGATGACAGTAAGTCGGGTCGTGCTGACTGCGAGCGAGTCGCACTTCAGCAGCCAGCGGCTGCCCTCTAATGCAGGAGTGAAAAATAACGATAATGCCACAACRTGCATTTGCAGGGTATGCAAAACGCTGAGACTGAAAGTAAGCAGGGGTCCAAACAGCTCTACAAACCGTTTTGTTAAATGCCGAGGAAGCTAGAAGAGCATMGCAATCTGTGATGCAACTGATACTATATCCCACCCCACCTGATGACTTCAGTACTACTTAGTTCTAGAAAACACAAGACACAAACAAAATGGAAAGGAGACCACCTAGTTTTCACATTAGTTCAATCTGACACTTAAAAATAACCAAAAGTCTGATCCAGTACACATTTGAACAAACAGAAATCAGGAAAAAAGTGAATTCAATTTCATTGAGACACTGTGTTCATTTCCTTTTACTCCTTGCTCTTCTCTGTGAATCTGCTCTGGCTCCTATCTAACCAAGCACCAAATAKTCTACTGATTTCAGAAGGGATGGGGCTGAGCTCTGTGCTTTTCGGCTACTTTCTCACTGTGCAGCAAATCTCAAATTAGCAATTGCAATAATAGGTAGGGCTGCCAAGCTGCGGACACCTCATCCGGTGCTGACAAGATACAAATGAAAAACAAATACATCTTTGCTGGGCAAGAAAGGAGCAATACTGCATTGTGAAATAAACAGTCATTTCCACCAAAAGTTGTCCAGTGTTAGGTTATCTTAGTCCACGAAGTGCCACCAGGAAGCAGAGGTTTCAGGATCAACATACCATAAAATTTCAAGGAAATTAAAAGACTCAAGCCTCATATCAAATGAAGTTGTTTACTCTCCTCCACTTACAGGAGAAAATAAAAGTCTCCTATATCTTGTTTTGTTCACAAGCAACCTATCATACAAAGGAGCCACACCTGCAATTGGTTATGTGCAGATTTCATTGCAAGGGCCAACATGAGATGAAGTCCTTCCCTTCTCTCTTGCCCAGATAGTGTCGACATCAGAGCAGCATTTTCTGAGATACAGAAAAAAACCTTCTCTGCTTGAATAAAATTAGAGCTACATTTAATCTAACTTGATTTTCTAAACATACGCAAAATTAAGTGCAAAGCATTTCTTCGTGCAAGACAACTATAAATTAAAGCTTGCTGTTATGGCTCCCCAGCATACCATAAATATACATTTTGGCACGTGTTCATATTTAGAAAATTATTATTTATTGCACTGACTTAGTATGTAAAGCTCTACACAAGACTTTATCTTTTTAAAAAACCCAATACATTATCGTACAGCTTACAGAAATCTTCTAGAGCTCAAAGCCCATAAACTCAGGGTAATAATGACTTTCAAGCAGCCACAGACTCAATATCCACATAGTGCTTTCCATCCTGCAGTGCAAGCTCTGGGTGCCCCTGCTTGAGCAGGGCGGTTGGACTAGATAATCTCTACAGGTCCCTTCCAACTTCAACCATTCTGTGATTTTRTGAATGCTCCTAGCTCCAGCTGTCATCAAGATGAAGTGAGGAAACCAGTTATCTTTCATATTTGAGCTAGTTTTTGCAATGAATTTTTGCAATGACAGATGTGAAGAAAGCTGACAGCATGCACAGAACAGGCTGAGTAGTAGCTAAATTTGAACAATATGATACAAGAGCGACATTTTACTCTAAAGTTAATATTTAACTTAAATTTCAGACTAAATTGTTCCAATCTACAAGTGTTCTGTGGATAAGGAAATAGTTCAGGACAAAGATACATTGCTTGCATAAGTGTGTTGCAGCACTAGATCACTCTCCCAAGGGAGAAAAATCCCACTTTCCTTTGAAAGTATTTCAGCTTAACAGAACCATTATCCTTCTCTAAAGAGAAATGATAGTTTTTATTATGAAGATAAATGAATAAAACTAAATTTTGTGCTAAAATGGCACAAATATGATGTCCTGCTCCAGTTTCACTCCTATGCTCCTTCAGATTGTGATAGATAGAGATAGAAAAAAGTTCCATTTGTCACCCAGATATTCATTTTAACTTTTGCCTCAATTTTAGGTCAAATCTATTGATTACAGATAGTCTAGCTTTCCAGCTGATCAGTAGTGATGAAAATAGAGAATTCTGAGTATGAATAATTATTTGCTGACAATTTAAGGAGGGAATGTGTGCCGGAAACGTTAATCTAACAAAATAAAGGTGAAAAGTCATACAAAGAAAATGCATCATGTGACCTAAATATCCAATCAAAAATAGCAGCTCAGAATCTGAGTTCTGGAATACACACACTCAATTGCTTGTGTCTAAACTACAGACCAGGAACAAATGCCCACAGCTATTTGATGAATAATTCCGAATAATGAGTAAGCTGGAGAAAATCATAGACTGCTCACAAAGTAGGAACAGAAGGAAAGCTAAATTGCTTGCTCTAAATTGCATCTTTGCCATCTGTGTATCTTGTATACTGTTCTTTTTACTTTTCATTCAGCAGGATTTGAGATGTCCTAACAGCTCACTACAAATTTATTTAAAAGACAGTCCTTCACACAGAAAATTAAAGATGCTGGTATACATGTTTTAAAGTTTGATCTGTACCAGGCTACAACAGGCAGGGAATAGTATCTCCCAAGGTTGTTTGGCACATTTCTGCAGAGAGAGGTCTCAATCTAGTTATGACATGGGTATGCTAACGATCCCACAGAGAAGCTGCTCAGATAAAGTGAGCCAATAGAAAAATGACTGGTCCAAGCTAAATCAGCTCAGGCCCTCCTCACACAAAGGCTACAAACTCTACTAGGAAAGGGTAAAACCATGGAAATAGGAACACAGGGCTAGGCCAACTTTCACAGCAGTCTATGACTACAGAACCACATCCTGCAGCATAAACTGCAAAAGCAGAACCAATTTGGGGTGAGACATGAACTCTCACAAAGCAGCTTTAGAGAAAACCACACAGACCAGAGTACTGGGAAAAGTACTGCAGTGGTTAGCAACACACAAGGGCAGAATAGCTTAATTGTATTTTTCTTTGTGAAAGAGGATAAGCTATGGAGCAAGGGAGTGAAGGCTAAGGCTCTGTTTCCTCCGTTGACATAGCAGAAAAGCTCAACTGTTCAGCAAGTCACAAGTGACTTACGAGAAAGGTAGCTTCTTTAGAAAAAGCACTAATATTTAAAATAGGTATCCATGCTGCAAGTATTAAACAGGAAGATTACTGAAACTGTCAAGATTTGTAAAAGGCACAATTTTTACCCCCTAAAATAAAGCTTTGGAAAATCCACAACTGTCAGAAACTTTAACAAACAAATGGCATTAGATCAAAAATTTAATATACAAAACACAGCAATACACAAGCTCACGCACTTCAAGTCAAATTCCCCATAAATTTAATAAGCTTGAGTGCTTAGCCTATGGATCTAAACAGGGCAAACTTCAGATATTTAGCAGTAAAGAAAAGGTAATTTGAGTCATTGCATCCTTTGCTAACACAGCCTGGCTAATTTATTGCAATCTTTTTAGTTCAGATTGCCACTAAATATAAAATTATTTATAATTATGTTCATCAGTATCTTCTAGAACATCACCTGCAACACCTAAATGACAACTTTGCATAAATTCTCCAAAACAATCTTGCAAGTAACTCTCCACAAATGAAGTTGTTCAAGGAACTTCAGGTCAGGGCCTATTTCCATATAGATCTTAATTTTTAGACAGAAGCTTGATTATGCTGTGCACACTTAGAAATCAAAATGTTAAATAAGTTGTAAATAAAGAGCAGCCAAAATTATCTCTGAAAAGCACACACTTACTGCATTGGCTGCCAGTATACTACAAAAAATGTATGCCCTATAAAGTAAATAATGAACATATTTGTACTAAATATAACTTATAAACTTATTTTAGACAGTCAGAAGGAATGGTACATTCTTTACAGAACTTTTATTAATATAGACTTGTGCTGCTCACCCACTACTGAAACAGTAAAGCCAATTAGTTGGTCAAAGCTTTCTTATTTATGGAAGGAATAACAAATCTTTTTTAAAAAATGCATACTTTGTTAACTGAGCTTCTATTGATGTTCACTTCCTTCTGAAATGCCACCAAGAAATTCCTATATGTTTTCTTTCAGCTTTAATTTGCCCCTATTTCTCTCCTTTTCAAAAAAAACCAAAAAAAAATCTAAATGGGTATATTACTCACAAGAAGTAAGATCACTGTAGGAAAAGTATCTCCACATACTTCCCACTGTTTGCTCTCTCAGTCACTGGTAAGCAAGATGACCATTCTGGAGACTAATCTGGAAAAAAATGAGGTAAAATATGAGAGACTGGGACTTAAATGCTATTACCTTGTCTACTGCTGAGACATGTTTTGTAGGTCAGGTAGCTGAAATATGCTTATTTCTAAAAGGATGCCTTAATTTTATTCATTTCTGAATAATATTTTCATTTCATAGCTTCAAAGGACATTCCAAGGAGGATTGTTTTATTTATCACAAACTAGAAGAACACCAGGTAGGGGCAGATAAATTCTTATTTTCGGTGACAAAAGATGACATCATTCTCTGATCATTGAAACAATCCCTAGTGATTAATATGGAATAACTGCAGGTTCAGAATGTTCATTTGTGTTTCTCCAAACATTACAACTTGGACAGTTTAACTTCATATCCTCCATAATTTCAAGACACCATAAGTTTTTCAGTGTTGATATTTAAAATGTATGATATGTATATAAAGAGTGTGYGTACACATATGAAATAATATGACACTGCCTCTCCTCTAGGCTCTAGTGCCTTTTGTTAATGCTTATAAAGAATGCTTACCTTCCTCCAGGATGATTCCAAATAGTGCCATTCCAGCAGCCTTTATTCCATGGTCACTAGCCAATTCTTTAAAGTGAGGCTTCACTGACTGAGGAAAGACATACAAAAAGATCTTCCCAACAGCACAGTATAACATCTATGCAGAGTCTTCTTGTTAAGATAGTGCATTGTCTTTCTCTTCAAAGCTTTMCATATAAGCTAGTTCAGGTTTCATATTCCAGAGAAGGGCAAACGTTTGTTGCAGGTCCCCCAAAACATTTCTAACACTTGTCATTTTCCTTTGCATAGCAATCTTGAGTGTCCAGTCACATTGTAGCTCATTACAGGTGGGCTGGCTCCAATACCTACAATCATTAGAAAAACATATTTGTCAGAAAAAAAAATTTTATTTTCAAGCTTCCATAGACTTGCTTCCATATATATTTATGTGACTATTTACTTCATGGAAGAAGGCATAATTACAGTATGATTCTAGTGATCAATCAGAAAGTGATGAATTACAGCAACTGCTTTCAAAAACTCATCAGCAATCTGGAGTCTGAATGACCTATACAAGTTTTTCAAGTTTTAGGACTTATTATCATTAGGGGAGGGCTGCCCTATTGTGACAAACTCAACCTGCACTCCAAAGAACCAACAACCCACTGGCATTATTAATCTACTCAAAAATGTGGGCACAAGCTGCTGAAGGCTACAGTACAAGTCACCATAGTAAAGTCAAATCTGCATTACTTTGATGCTCAAGTGCTGCATTGTGTGAGCCACAAAAAAATGCTGGTTTGCAAGCAGTCTGCAGATAAATGGACTAATTTCAGATATTCCTGATATTTTTCTTACAGATCAAGGAAGCAAATAAAGCTTCAAGCTTTCCTGACAAATCTGTCAATTAAAAACACAAAATTGAATAAAAAACCCAACGATGCAAAACGTACAGCTGGTGATCCTGATAGTCAAAGACCTCTACAGTTAGAGCTGATAGTGATGCAAACTCCTTATGCCAGATTGTTTAAACACAGAGGAAAACATAAATGCACATAATTGAGTTCTGATGTTTGCTTTTTTCCTCCAAATATGAATGCAGTATGTGTATTTCAGCACTGGCAGTAACAACTGTGAACTATGCTATTAATGTCTGGTTTTAAAATGCTTGTGGCAGGATCATGTCTGGAGGAACAAAAATAAAAATGTATTCAGACAAAACAATGGTGAAAAGCCCATTAAGAAAATTAAAAGCAGCTATTATAGTAGAAAAACATGTATTCTTCTCTCAGAATATTATTTACATATAGCTTTTCTTAAACTGGATCCAAACACTGCCACACTCAATAAAATCAAAGTTGCTGAGAAGATATATTTTTAAAGTATACACGATCTTATTTTATTTCAAAAGAGAAAGATAGCTCGGTACTTTTGCTTGTTTTCCCCAGACATTTTAAAATTAAACAGATTAGTACTAAATAGGCAGAAGAGCAACTGTTTTACTGGCTTCATCTATTAAAAAAGGTTTAAAAAACATTTTTCAAGTAGTTCATTATACACTTGGGGATTTCTCCATTTCGGTGACAGATGCAATGAAAATGACTGGCAGTAGAGAGCAGTCACATTTAACTGACACCTAGCACCCATGAGTGATAGTCTCCTAAATTAGTTTCTTACTCTAAATCAACAACAGGGGGTGCACCCTTTCAGTGACTATCCAGGGAATTCAGCTGATTATTATTAGTGGCTCAAGTAGCAGAGTTTCAATTCCTTTTCTTGCCCATTCTAACACACACATTCTTGAGTRTTTGCTAATGCTATGTAAAGCCAGCCTTCTTTTATGAAAAGTATGGAAACAGAAACATTTGATTATGGCTCTGAAATTTTAAGGACATACCAGACAAAACACAGCTAAAACAGAACATTGTGTTGAATACTTATCCTGAAATCCCACCACTGACTTCTTATAAGATAGTGACTGGCTGCAAGAATAAATATAGGCTGAATGAGGGTAGGGGAAGGAAGGGACAAAAAAAACCAGCAAAACACATCTAGCCTATTACTTGTCTTTACTAAAAAATATATATATATTTTAAAAGCAATAACTTACAGCCCACTTCCTGTCCCTTGCACTGGTCTAGGAATAATTGCTCCTGGCTTTTGGAAAACCACAATCCAGCTAAGTTCAAAATATCCATCCTGTCATCTTCTTGCTCTGTGGGAGTTTCTAGCAGATCCTGATGGCTAAACATCTTGCCAAAAGAGTATGGGGTCAGATTTTCAGTAGGGCCAAGCGATAAGACAAGAGGCAATAGGCACAAACTAAAACATAGGAGTTTTGCTGAACCCCAGAAGGTTTTTTTATTGTGAGGGTGAGCACTGGAATAGACTGCCCAGGGCAGGTGTGGAGTCTCCATCCTTGGAGATATTCAAAGTCATGAGGAAAGGGTGCTGAGTAGGGGGTTCAGAGCTCACTCAAMTGTTCAGCCATTCTGTAATAAATTTCCTCATAGTCTTTTAGGTTATCTGGTTTAAAGAATTATTATTTCATATGGAATGAAAGAAATTTGCCTTCCCCAGGTTCTTTTAAACAATAGACCTAATGTGTTAAAACTCATCAGTTTAATGAGCATTTCTTGAAGATTTCAGATGTGAGAAGAGGAAGACTGTTGATTTTCTTTGCCTTCTAAAGTTCAAATCATAGTTAACTAAAGCTGATACGGACAAAAAATGGCTTATGGTTAACTTTAATATGAAAGGAATGTTCTGCACAATTTCTAAATGGCCTGTCTTGTAGCAAAGTTTTTTACTATCTTTGAGGGCCATCATATCCGTCCTTTCGCAAAGTATTAACATAAAATGTTCAATTAGCAGGCTTTCACAGAAATTTAAGCAGAAACAAAACTGACATTGTTTAGCTAAAATTCCCTGCATATTTGGAAATGACCACRGGGAAAATAAATTTAAATGGTTAGAGTACCTCCTGTCTGTATGGTTTTCTCTCCAGATCTGCTGGCTGAAAAATAATGATAAATGCCACTCTTGAGCATGAATTTTCAGTTCTGAGCAGATGTACTTATAAAGCAAGAAGCAATGCCTGCCTGCTCTCATGTGCAACATATGGAAGATTCTGTCTCTTTTCCCTAACAACTTAAAAGCTCTTCAGTAAGTTATTTCTCATGATTCAAGCAACRCACTTATCTGGTCTGAGGTGAGCATATCTCAGACTGAGGGTTTTTTTTTTTTATTACATCAAGAAGATTTCTTTTCTGTATTTTTAAATGACTGKCAGCATAGTCTGCTTAAGTTTTGCTACAAAGTTAAACTTTAAGCAATTTTATTTATGAAGCAAATGGAACCCAGTCTTCAACAGAATTAATTATACTAATAGGAACAAAGAATGGCCTCTAGAGCTCTAAAATTTTGTAAGTCTATGAACACTGCCTGTTACATACATTTCCCAAGCCACTAGCTACCATAGAATATCACTGGAAGCTCAAAATTCAACAGCCACTGGATGTCCAACAGCTGAATCTTGCTCTCAGTTCATTTAACTGCATTCCACTTTGATATATTATACATATTTTATATATTGAGTATTCCACTTTAATACCATTTTAGATCAGTATTCCAGGAACAAATGGATAAGCACAGAGTCTCAGGCTTATGCAGAGCTCCACCTAAGCAAAAACTGTCCTTTGACAGGTAACTGATTTCCAGATTAGGACTGATTTCCTTCATACTTGTGCAGTGTCATGCCAAGTGTCCCAAAGTACTTCTGGAATCAAGGCCAAAACAGAAGATGTGCTATAAATTCCAAACATTCATGGTGCAAAGATACCCTCTGAGCCTGACCTCAATTTTATGCATGCAGCAATCATGAAACGTCTGGTCCCAAGGTGAGCACTTCGCAAACACCCATCCAGAAAGCCAGAATACTAGGGAAAAGAGTAGAAGAGAAGGGAAATTGAGATGCAAGCCTACTCATGCAACCACATCACAGCCAATAACCTGTATTTTTACCGCTAAATTGCAAAAATGGTTAAGGATGGAGCTTGGGTCATTTTTTTTTTCTATTTTTTGAATAGGGCACAAAAAACACATTCCATTTCCTGGGCTACCTCCTTTCTTTTTAGGAAGAAATCAACCAGATTTCACTAATTCTATTAGAATATATCAGACTTTTTTATTCTTGTTCAGTTCGACAAACTAAGCAAAGAAACTCTGCTTGTCTTTTAATTAGTTATTCCGTGAACAACAGAATGAACAACAAATTACAGATTCATATCCTTCACTCTTTACTAGTCTACTACAGTAATTCCAAACCTTTCTACCCCCATGTCCTCTATGAACCTAACCAGGCAAGAGACAGCACAAGTTATGGCTGGCCCTGAGCCAACATATATTAAATTTCCAGCCAATTGCTTCTAAACATGACATACAAAGGCTGAATTCTTCCTGATTTTCCTTCAGTGAGGACATTAGCTTGGGTCACTCCAGCTATTCACTCATCAGTTTTCACAAGACTAACAGGTCACTTCCCTCAACAACTCCTACTCTTCATTAAAAATTTTAAGTGGCCAATTGAGAAGAAACAGGTAGGCAGGGTACACTGTTAAACTTCATTTGTACAGAAAAATACATTTAGACATGGGTTAAACAGCAGTTCTTAATTTTTTATTACTCCCTCTTTTAAGCAATGGAAAAATACAGAAATGAGATCACGTATCTKCTATTTAAGTAGCTTTTCCACACAACTCTGACAGAAAAAGAAAAATGGATTCTTTTCTCAAGCTGAGAAGCTTTTATTCCCCATCTCATGCAATTCAACTCACTAAATTGCTAAGAGAATAATTTATTCTTCCCTATGTTCTCCTGAATATCCATACACACACAAAAAATGGTTGCTGGCAGACAGAGCTGTCAGTGGGAATTTTAGCATAAGTAAATTGTTTAGTGCCTGTAATTTAGTATAACAGCTATAATTTCACTTGAACTGTTGCCACTAATAAGCTAATAAAACTGTGAGTCAAGACCTAGATATTCATCTCTACAAGGAGCCACCAGGAAATTTTCTATGTGCCCTTCATCACAGAACAGGTAACTCGRTGCTTTAAGTGTCCTGCATCTCCAAACGATGAGCTAAGGCCTGGCACATTCTCCCTTTTAAGACTGAAAGGCACAGCTGCACATAAACTACAAAGGAATTTCCTATCAGTTAACAGGTGTTTTCACAGCTCCTCCAATCCCCTGCCAGAATGCAAACTAGCAATTTAAATGCATATTCAGTTGAAAAAAAATGTTTGAAAGGAAATTCAAATACAAATATAATACATATATTAAGATACACATAAGTATGTACCCRTGAGTATATATGTCTTCCATATTAACTGGGCTGGAAGCATTTGTTTTTCCTGAAGATCTCCTCAAAGGACCATAAAATATTAAGTTTGCAACATATAAACTAATAGAAATTCATATATATCAGTTACTTGGCTGAATATGCTATGTCGTTTTCATAATTTTTATTCACAATTTATCTAATTTTTATTCACCAGCAATTATGRTGAAGCAACTATAAAACTGCTTTAATTTAAATGACATGATTAAAAGAAAAATACAAGATACATATTTTCTCAGACCAAGAAAATAAAGCAATTATCATAATTCTCTGGCATTTACACACACTCTGAATGAAAGCACAGGATTAGTAATCAGCTTTAAGACAATAAAACATAACGGACGCCAGAGAAGAAGCACTTTTGACTGCAATAATGTTTACTTTTGCTATCTAGAAACCACAGATGCAGTTGCTTCTGGTGGGTAGAACTCACTCATCATTCTGCAGGCAATCACCAAGACCTGTATGAGGGCTAGAGGGTCTGAAATTATAGATAAGCCATGTTGGTTCTCCCCAGATTAATTTGTTTTMTCTCATATGCATGTCTCATCAATACTAATTAGTCAAGATACAGGTCCGATTTCTCTACACTTTCAGTTGAAAACAATAAAAATATAGCAAACACTTCAAAATTGTAGCTAATTCTCTCACAGAAATACAATATACTGGAAGTGACTGCAAAGAAAGGAAGAGAAAGAGGCAAAGCAGATAAAGAATATATACAAAGAAGCAACTATGCTAATGTATCTACAAGAGATAAGAGCCTAAACTCCAGTAAACACCATACTGATAAGTGGTTTCACTTGTACTTAGCAGTTTAGCATTCCTACTGTTATTACCATATTTTCTCAATAGCCTATTATTTCTGTCTTCTAGACTCTGAAATACTTAGTACACACATAGACAAAAACCCACTCCTGACAAAGACACTTGCAATCTCTAAAACAGAAACAGAACAGTTTTATCCTCCAGCCTCAAATTTGTTTCCATTTGCACTTTAACTCAAACATTTCATAAACTATTTAATAACTAAGCAACCAGCACTACATAAATTAAAACTTCATGCTTTGGGCAGACCATGGAATTAAATCTTGATTTACTGTAAAGCTGTTTACATTTCACCATAGCCAAGTCAGTGTTGGAATCAAACTCAGAAAAAAAAATGTAACATTAAAGTGTACAGTATGCCAGAAAAGGTGGGGGAAAAAAAGCCCCTTTTTGAAGGTAGGATTGAGTTGGTGCTTTCCATTTCAGGTGTAAACTGCTAGGCATACCACTGATTTCCATAGCTGAGAGTACATTGCACAGTTGTGGTAATTTTGTACAGCTGTAAACCCTGTTTCAGATATGGACTAATTTTCATGGTCTTCCATAAGGCTCACTGCACTGCACTCAATAATACTGCCTTACACATTAGTTTTAATTATTTTTGCCAGCAGTTACATTATGAACATATGTCTGCATGTGAATTTCCAGGCAGAAATACCACCATCACTTTTGATTAGTATAAGTAACTGTCATTAAAATATTAATGATTATGTTCATAAATGCTTTTAGACAAAATAACTGATCTGGAGAAAAATCAGTGTACAGAAAGAAATAGAGGCACAAGAGGACAAGATCACAGACTTTTCACACAACTGACAGTAATTATTCACTTACTAAAAACAGTGATTGTAACAGAAACTTTCCTTTTCCTAACCAATTCACTTAGGTGGATCCTTAAAACTTCACAGAATTTCATCAGTCATAAGAGCTCCACATGCATAAGCAAACCTTGGAGGTCAAGGTCCAAACAACTAGATTTAAAGCACTGGCATAATTTGTCTTAWATACTTTCATGGACAATTGTATTAAAATGTCTGCTTCCTATGAGAAAAGCAAACAACTTATGCTTTTTCTTGTGCATATACATTTAGAAGCTCTGACTCAGTAGTTGTTTAATGCATTTTTCAATAGGGAACACGACTGACAATATTTTATTAGCTCTTTCTATTAAAAGCTTTAATACCAGCACTGACCAGAACTTCTAAAAATGACATAAGAAAACCTACCCACAAGCAAGAACTGAAGCAAGCAGTTGTATGGAGTTGGAAGATTGTTCCTTAATACTTTTGCTAATGAAGCAAAGCAATTGCCAAAGTTTCCACTGTCTTTCTAAGATTTCAGCTCAAGGGTGCACTCACAAACAAATCCTAAACAGACTGCAACTATACACCAAAAAAATTACCAATCTGAAGGAAAATTAGGATTTGCCTGGGAAAAACTCCAAAGTGATCACCTGAATGTTTCTTATTGTGCCAGGCTCCCACACTTGCAAGAACCTACTTGATGACTATTAACTAACTTTACTAACGATGCTCAAGAGAGTCAGGTTAAAAGCTATTTAGGCATCTCTTTTTAAACACAGATTGGAATATCATTAAAATTGTTGCAAATTCTCATACCTGTTTTACTCTGTGGCCATCACTCCTATTGTAAAGCTGTTAGAACTTTACCTAGCTTAATCAGCTGCTAAGTGAAATAAAACACACTGCTGAAGTATACTATACACTGATCTGTAGGCTGAAATTATCCAYATCTCGAGATGTGAAAGAGATTCAGATCAGATGGCTCTTCTGCAAGAAGTGATACAAACCACACTGCATAGCACCATCTTGTGGTGAGCACAAAACRTCTCTTTTTTCCTTTAAACTTTGAAAACTTCAAGGGTATCAGCAAAGATTCACACAGGAAATAATGTTAAGTCTTATAAATAACCATTTTAAGATGCTAAAAGTCTATAAATAAATCTACAAATCAAGAGATGGGGAAAAAATACCAAAAAAAAAAAAACAGTAAGCCCGTTATTTCCCATGCTTCCATTGCTTATTTGCTTAATTCACTCTAGCTCAGTTCCTTATTCATCACACACCAGCCTGCCTCACAATAAGTGAGGCTGAAGACTAATATAAACACAATAAATAAGTTACAAAACTGCTGAGTAGAGACTGTATTATCATACACAAGCACAAGCAACCAATGCAAAGATGCAAGGCACTGTTAATCTGGCCATTTCTTGACTTTCAAGTATGCAACTTACTTTTTAAATTCCACTGTAGATCATGGTTTTCAAGAAAACTGCTTAAGTACAATTTCTTGATACATTCAAAATGCTCTTCTCTCCATTGCACAAGTATTTAATGCAGTTTCCTATAAAAGACACCTGAGTATCAAAATCTGTCCTATTGCCTTAGGCTTATTTTTAAGCCTAATATTGAAATGTTACCTACTGCAATCCTTTTTTTTTTTTTTTTCCCAGGTTTCTACCTGCGAGGGCAAGACTTTGCAAAGCAGCCTCTGCACTGGATAAGTTAGCAGTGCTCCCACAAGCAAGGTTTTACCCACACCCCTGACAGGCTCTTTTTTTTCTCTCTCATCCAAACAACAACAACAAATATATATATATATATAATTAGGATAAAAAGGCTTCCATTCCTGCTTTTTTTTCCTACATCAAACGTTTTTTAATCAAAATGGTACACAAGAAAACTTTCTTTTCCACTTTCTTTTCATTTTCTTAGAGGAATAATGCGGCAGAAGTAAAATAATGACAGCCAAGTCTTTTCAGGAAACGGCTAATTTCACATACCTGTCTGTTTTGCAATGAAGTGCTCTGTGCAGGGGGAAGCACATCCCGTACTGCTTTACTGCCCYAGGGTTTTGCTGCAGAGCGAGTTTCTTTGCCCGGAGCATGAAACTCTGAGGCATTTCCCACCCCCTATCCCCTCAGGAYTGAGCCCGTAAGTGCTGATTTTAAGTAAAAGCTACACAGACATTAATGAGGTGCTACTATCCCCAGCACCCCGAGCCAGGGCTGGGGCAGGCACTGGAGTGAGATGAGGCAGAGAAGGGCACAGGCAGCTCCTGAGGGGATGGCGGTGAGGTCGGTGTGTGTGTGCAGGTCACAGCACCCCCCACAAGCCGCCCCAACAGCAACATGGCGTAAAACAACCACCGTCCTCCCGCCGTGTCGCCCCTAAGACGCAGCCGCTCCCCGCCGCGCTCCTTATAAAGGCGTCGCTGACGTCACAGGCGGCCGTTATGCGCGCGCGCGCCCCGCCCGCGCGGGCGGCCGTTACGCGGGGGCGGCGGGGGCGGTTGCCGCGCATGCGCAGTGCGGGGCCGGCGGCTCCCATGAGCGGGCGCTGCCCGGCAGGCGCCGCCTGGTTGTTGCGGCGGCTCCGCGGTGCGGCCGCCGGCAGCAGCAGCATGAGCCTCTGCGGCGCCCCGGGGCCTGCGGGCAGCGGGGGCGCGGGCTCGTCCTGGCCGCGGCGGAGCCCGCCGTGCCTGCGGCTGGCCGAGGTGGCGGGCGCTGAGCCGCAGCGCGCCAACGATCTCCTGCTGCTGCCGCCGCCCGCAGCGGCGAGGCGCGGCCCCGAGCCGCCGCAGCACCACGTCGTCTACTTCCCGGGGGACGTGCAGGTAGGGGCCGTGCGGGGCGGGCAGGGCCGGGGCAGTCCCGCTGCGGGGGCACCGCGCGTCGCTTGTTTTGCCCGCCCCTGCCCGGCCTGGCTGCGGGCGAGAGGGATGAAYGCGCCCTGCGGCTCGGCGAGGGGAAACGTGTCGCTGCGTGCAGAGGAAAGCTCCTTCCTGAGGGCTCTTCTTTGTGGTAAAGACAGCGGGGATTCTGCAGGTGGAGGAAATGGGGCAAAATGCTGTATTTCTGTCGTATGAAGCTGGATAGTACTTCCATTTTCCCTTGAAGTCAGTGAGAAACAAGCAGTGCCTCCGTRTGCTATTTTATTGTGGTGGTTTTACATGATAAAATCATTAAGGTGGAATAAGTGGKCTAAAGAGTCCATAAATTGGACAAACGGTTACTTAACCTGGGAGCAAGAAGGTCCCTCTGTGATGTGCAGTRTCTGTGTGTGTCACCCACAGCCCAGGCTTCCAAATATACGTATCTACATACACTTGTACCTGTACAAATGGACCCTGGTCCRTATCTACACACATGCATGCACGCGCTAGGCCGAGCTGCCGTGTTCTCCCCGTGTGCTAACGCATCTTTTCTGCTTTTCTGTTTTTCAGAACTATCACGAGGTCATGTCGTGCCACCCAGAGAACTTCCAGTGGGAGCACTGGAGCTTCGAAAACGTTGCCAGCATACTTGCCCGCCGCTTTCCGAATAGCTTTATCTGGGTCGTGAAGTGCTCTCGAATGCACCTGCACAAATTCAGTTGTTACGACAACTTTGTGGCCAGCAACATGTTTGGAGCGCCGGAGCACAGCAGCCACTTTGGAGCTTTCAGGCACCTTCACGCGTTGCTGGCGAACGCGTTCAGGCTCGCGCAGAACGTGCTCTTGTCCCAGAAAAGTGGCCTCGACAAGGATGCCGAGGTGGTGGCTGGTCAGTCACAGCAGCAGACAGGTCCTACAGCAAACGGCTGCTCATCCATGGAAAGGGAGAGGGCCGGAGAATGTGCCAGTAACTCYGCTGTGAACTTCAGCGCGCCGTCTGCTGTAGGCGCAGTGTCCTTCACTTTGGTTGGCTTCAGCAAAGGCTGCGTGGTTTTGAACCAGCTCCTCTACGAGCTGAAGGAAGCTAAAAGAGACAAGAATACAGATGCCTTCTTAAAGAACATAAAAGCGKTTTACTGGTTGGATGGTGGTCACTCCGGAGGAAGCAATACTTGGGTTACTTACCCTGAAGTGCTGAAAGAACTTGCACAGACAGGAATTGAGGTTCATGCTCACGTTACACCCTACCAAGTATTTGATACAATGAGATCATGGATTGGGAGAGAGCATGAGAGATTTGTACAGATACTTGAAGAACTGGGTGTGGAAATAGATGATCAGCTGCATTTTGCAGATGAACCTCCCTCTTTAGATAATCATTTCAGAGTTCATGAAGTATTTTGAGACTGTATATTTATCTCTGTATTCATTGCAGAAGCACTTTTGATGCTGTAAATCTTGATTTACAACTTGGAGCAAATACTCTCTGAAGAGTAACGCTAGATCAGTCTTGTGTTATTAGTCGATAACTGTGTATAAATTTCAGTGGCTTAAAAAGTGGAGGACTTGTTCCCCCAGACAATGCCATTTGATTCCTGTCAAAGTTGTTAGGAAGAACTATGTGAATATTTAGTCTTGACCTGTTGGCAAATGTTTTTAGCCCTGGATGTCCAAAGTAATATACTGTCTTTAATGGGAGTTTAAAAGTAATGGGAGATATTAAAAAGTATGGATTTAAGGCTGGATTTCCACGGCTGAAAAATTTTGGTCTTTGTCAGTAACAGATACAAYTTTAGTTTTTTGGCTTAGAGAAAATGATGATTGTTGGAGCAATTTTAGTTTTATGTTGAAAAGTGCTTTAATTAGATAACCTGATCTTCCAGTTTTGTAACATTTCTCCTATTGAAAGATAGTCACAGATATTTAGCATTGGAATAATAATGCATATTTGKTTTTTTTGATGTTGTTGTGTTTTGTTTGTTTTTTTCCCTATTAGAACTTGAATGTTTCATTAGCTCACTGCTTAGAATTTGGTAGTGACTAGCCCTTTTTTTCTGGGACTGGAAAATTTGGAATAGCTATGTGAAGTGACCAAGGGTATTGATAAGGGTGGTGGTTATTGCTCTTTCAACACACCCTGCTCTTGCTTTGACTGGCTTCTATAGGACCGGAGGTAGTACATGTATTTGCAGTTTGAGGCATGTTTATGCCTTCTGTTCTAGAACTGGTGATTGTGTTGGTGTTTTTTTTTTTAGCTTGTTTTCTTGAAAACTGTGGCATTGGTGTTTATCCAGATCAAGCCACAAGTATATGACGTATTACAAACTGCAGAAAATATTTTAAAATGTTGACTGTAGCTGTTTCAAAATGTTTCGTTTTTTCATGATTTGGTAGAACTGTGATCACCTTTAAATGTATTGTAGTAGCTGCTTGTAGAACTACCTAAAAATCTGTTTTCAGAGCATAATATTTTATACAAAAAAAGTCCTCTAAATACAAAGCCAGACAAATTAGATACAGAAAGGAATCACTCTTAAAGATAACTGCAACTATTAATGATAAACCAGTAGCCTAATGGTTTGGAATTTCCTGAAAGTATAGAAAAACAGCAGTTAGCAAAACAGCGTGACAAATATAGCTCTAATCGGGGGGAGCTGGAGCAGCTTTTTGTTCACTTTGTTCCAGTATTTGATTGCTTAGCAACACCTTTTCCCTGCTTCTCGCTTCCTGTTACTTTTGTACTGTGGAAGGACAGATCTGGGTCATCTTTCATCTGTTGACATTGTTAAAATCATTTAAATGCCCAAGATTCACTGGAGACAGTATTTTCCCAAGTCTTACACAGAAGTGTTAAGGGTGATAGAAAGGAATGAGCACATAAAAAGTCGTTTTTTATAATATCAAAGTGAATTCTGTAGCTAAGAATAACGAGGCTAATGTAACTATCTGCTCAGAAGTAGAAAGCTATTTTAAATGATGGAGAAAAGTACAACATGCAAACAAACTGCAGTTTTATAGAAGAATCCAAAATATAATTAAACTTCCTTAGAGATCCTACTCAACCATATTTATTATTTTCGTGATATATTCCTTCAAGGAAAGGTATTTCCCTCTCTTGCCCTTTTGCAGTGGGTCCMTTTTGCAGTGGGTGTCCTTGTGCAGTAGGCACACCACTTGCAGTGGGTGCCAAAACCAAGTAAATGCGGGTCACTTAGCAGAAGGTTTTTAATAGAGAGCCYATAAAATTAGTGGAAATATCTTTAATCATCCAATGGTAAGTTAAAACAAAAACACTCACTAATTTTGTTCCCTGTCAATTCAATTTCAGTCTTCTCAAATTAACCAGAGTGACACTAAAATTTGCCCTACCCAATAGTAACGCACCTCATAGAACAGTATCAAAACAACTCAGTGCCAGCCAAAACAGTAGATTGTTGCAAGCTTTTGAAAATCACTATTAAAATATTGGCATTGTCTTCAAAGGTTTCTGGATGACTCTCGTAGTGAAATATTAGACAGTTGGATGTAGGTAGTTTATAATAGATGTTTAAATCGGCTCAAGTTTTGGTGCATTACTTTGAGGACTAAGCACTTTCTTGGAAAACTAATCTTGATGCAAGACTTGGTGTTTCAGAAGGAAAACAGGCTGGCTGGTTTTTATTTGCAAAAGTTGTAGTGCTGTGTTGGAATGTGCTTCTGTCATTCACTACAATGCATGCTAAAAATAAAATATGCAGACAATGTAGAAAATATTCTTTCAGATGAGTGAAACCACTCCAATATGAGTGGAAAATTGTTAATGAGGAATGTGCAGTTAAGGTTTGCGAATTATGATTCAGTGGGTGTTTGTGGAGTTCTAGGTTAAAAGGGGAAAAAAAAAATCCGACACTTACTTCATTGCAGCTYTTCTTCGAGGCAGGCTCTGTGCTTAGGTAGTCAGCATCTGCCRTCAGAAAAGAGCTTACTGGCGTCCTGCCTGTGTAGGAAAGCTGGCGTGAAGTAGGCAAAGGGGTGAACCTTTCTGTTGGGGTGAACTGGATCATAGTTTCTGGGTGCYTGTTTCCTTCCCTTAACAGTTTTACACTAAAGAGAGATGATAATGAGAAAGTCAGGTGAGGTGAATTCCTATTCTCATACCTAGTCTACAGTAGTTGAGTGCAAGGCACACTTCTGTTTTGGAATGGAGGAATAAGCAATGTTACATATTGTGTCCTTAATACAAACCAGTATGTATTAACTGGCACACTTTATRTTACGTTTTTGTTTCTTGCATGTTAGACAAATCATTCTGCATACAAAAAAAAAGTCAACTTCTCTGTCCTGAGAAATGCTAAAATGTTTTAAGCTGCATATATTAAAAATCTCTGTAAAACAAGACTTTCTGTGAAATTGCCCAGTCCCTATAACTTAAACTATACTGCTTTGTGCTTATCTTAAATACTTGTCACTTAATCTTGTTCCTATCAATGTCTAACATAATCACATCTCTGTTGTATAAATTGATATCAGATGCTAATTTTGAAATGTGATTACAGATGCAAGCCTTAACATGTTGCTAAAAAGTGCAGTCTTTTTTTTTTGTCCTGCTGCCTTTATGGTGAGCTGTTCTAGCTTGCATCATTGATGATAAAGATAACTCGAGTGCTGTGTATTTAAATGTTCATAAGGCTTATTTAAAATACATCTGCAAAGTCAGACTTTCAGGAATTACAGTTGTGGATATTCACAGATAAAGTAATACACAATCATGTTCTTAAGTTTTCCAAACRGATCCTTTTTGATTTGCAGAAAGAAAATACCGCCCTTTATTTCTTTCCTCATCTAATGCTTCACAGTGTTGTCTTTTCTAATCTAACAGTTACTTTGATGTCCCTGCAGATAAACAATATTTGTTCTCTATGAAGATGGGAAGTTGAATCACTGAGCTCAAAGAGAAATAYGTTTACTCTGATGATTTTAAATTACATAAGGCCATATTTTTCGTATACAGTTCCATCTGTGCAGTGAGTGTATGTTCCGTTTCTTGAGCTGCGGCTGTAGGGCCTCAAAGTGGGCCCCTGTGAAATAACAGACAACTTCCAGTTTCTCTGCTTATGTGTCTGCCTGGACGTGTCAGATATTATGTAGGAACATGGGGATAAAGACCGGGCTAAAGTCACATTCTCCATGGTGTCTTTAAGCTTGGTCAGAAGATGATTACTTCTTCCTTTCTCACAGTACTGTCTCTTGTCAGGTAGTCTTGGCTTTCTTATTTCATACTTTTGACAGTAATCTAATTCTATGTGGTCACTTTGAAAAGATTTCATAAAACTATAAAGCTATTTTGGACTTGGATAGCACTGTTTATCCAGATTTTCTGCTTTGCAAATGTGATTYTGCAGTAACGCTGGTGAAAAACACAGGAAAGGTAAGAGACTCGTGTTTTGTATTGGAAAAATCAGGGGAGGAGTCAACAGGGGTTGGGTGTTTTTAATCAACTTACATATTGTGCTGGCATAACTATAATATACTGTAGTAATGACTATGGTATTTGTTGCACTCTTTTTATACCACTGAAATAAGCTATAGTGCTATATGTGCTTTAGTGCAGGATAACATTACTTGCTGTGTAGCACTCACAAACCAGCATAGCTGCATCAGCATAAAACTTTTGTAGACCGGTGATATAATTCCCCTTGTTATAGCAGCCTGGAGCCTGACAGTCCTTAACCTGGACAGGTTACAGGTACTGGTTCAGACATGGACTGGTACAGACCTGTACCAGTCTCTAGGCAATGTAAGAAATGCTGTCCTTATTTTATAGTGAGCCAAGACAGAGGAGTTACGAGTGCCACGGAGTTGGGGCATTTGTATGAGCTGTTGTGCACCAGCCTTCCGCTCCGTTGCTGCCTGGCAGAACCCTCTGCAGGTGCCCATGTCATCTGTGCAGCTGCACGGTGCAGAAGCAGAGGTGGGTGCCCCGGACTGCAGACCACAGGAGAGCTTTCCCAGGTCGCCTTTAGAGCTCACTTCTCCAGAGTCCTTTGAATCTGCCAGTGAAATTTCATTCCTTGCAGAATTTCAATCCTGTAAGGATTGCAGATTAAAAGGAAAAGTTAATTCGATGGCTTTGTATCTTACTGATCTCTTAACTTTAATCTAAAATGCAAATTAATTTAAATGCACATTAGCTAGTAAAGCACACAAAGGTGTGTCTTTAATTTGAATAAAATAATATTGAGTCATGAAGTGGCTCAATCATGATCATTAGATCATCTAATGCCTGTGTGGCAGAGGCAGGCAGTGCGCTTTTCCCAGTCTTAGACATGCCATTTCTGACCAGATTTGTTCTGTCTGTATTAAAATAGTGTAATTTCCTCTTCTGCTAACAAAAAAACTACTCAGTGTTAGCAATAGCATAGCGATGGTACCTATATGCAGTAGTAGTGGCTATTGCACATCACTGAGTCACAGTGACTCCTTTTGCACTCCTTTGGCTATAAAATAGTGGTAGTTCTGTAGTTGTTTCCTCTTGTTGGGCTTAATTGTTTCTAAGAGAATACAAGAAGTGTCAAATAATTCTATTTAAGCAAATGGCCTGAAAAGCATTGGTTACCTCAAACAGGAAAATACATTCTCATCTGCTTTCTCTTTGTACGAAGAGACATGTCACTTACTGGAAAAGCTGAATGCAAAGGTTCAGAATGGATTTTGCTTCTTTCAGCAGGCCTTCTGAGGACACTTTCAGTTATGACTGTCAGCTTCTCTTGTTAAACTTGGCACTTCAGAGCCGGGTTGTTTCTAATGGAAGTGTTAGGGCAAGATACAGAAAACAGTCAAGAGACATGCCGGTGTTGGAGAAGAGCAAAACGAGGTTTCTCGCATCCCTTGTACCAGATTTACCCTCTGAGGAATTCTCCAGTGCACGGGCATCACATGAAGCTATTGCAGCCCTTACAGACTTCCTGCATAGCTCTTCTTGCCCATTTGTCATCCTGAAAAATACATGGAGTTTGTCTGATGGAAGCTTTAAGCAATTCATACACTGCTTGACATTTGAAGGAAAAATGCTTTAACAGCAACACATCTTTTACTATATGGGATCAGCCTTAGAGCCTACAGCAATAGCCTGTAAAGATTTTTGTTTGACTACTCGGAGCAGCCCATTTTATATGAGTGAGCAGATCTTTTAATGTTTTCAATCTGCTCTTAGAAATGTTGACTAGGACCATATCCAAACAATTAAAAGGGAAGTAAGCGGGTCTTGTTGCTGTCAGGAATCGCCACATATTGAGATGAGATCCTCGGTCCTAGAATCCAAACCAAACAGGAAAACTTAAAATTCAACTGTACTGCAAACTTACACAAATGCTTAAGAGAATTAAGATTTTATCTTTTCTCTTACTGGAATGTTGATTCCCAGGTCTGTTAATGGCTTCTATGGAACATCTTATAAGAGTAGCAGTCTCTGGACATACATCTCCCACAGCTGTGCTTTCTGCATAGAAACATCTAAACATCTCAGATTTGGATAAACACATTTTGGCCAGAGGAAAAAAGAATGAAGTCTACCCAGGTTTCAGGAGCTGTAAAGTCTATCGGAATCATGGCCTATGTAAYGTAACCTCTACTCAGTGAAATGAGCCTGGCCTTAGAATTAGCAGTCTCGCAGGGGGCCCATCGGCATGAACAAAACAAGTAATTTCACCCTGCATTGTTGAAAAGGATCACAGATACATTGTCAGGCTACATCACCACTCAGATCCCTGCATGTTAGGCAGTTAGCTTGATGCCTGTCTTAAGAATTCAGGCTAAGGAGGTGCTGGGGAGAATCACATCAGAGAGCACCACTGTTCAGCATGCACATTAAAGTGTAGTCAGCAATGTGAGTATTCCCTGGGTGTTGAATGGCACTTGGTATTCTCTAATTATTTGATCAACAAGCTATTAATGCACCGTCACTAAAAAGAGATAGGGAATTAATATTTTTATGTTTTTAGATACTCAATTGCCAGGGATCTTTACTTCATTTTTTTAATTATACCTTCTGGCCACCTCAGTAGTCTTTGATGGACAGATTTTTAATAGCCTGTTCAAGAGTTTGACAGGAGAGTATTTTGACATCAGTGTTTTCCTTTGATTTCTTTCCACAGCAACCATACTAAGAAAATTATAAAACATATACCTTCTGAAATCAACTTGTGCTTTGTATTTCACTCAACCAAAAATAAATACCAAATTCTTTCCAGATGTTGGTTTGCAATTAACTTGATTACATTTTAAAAGCATCAGTCACTACTAATAAAAAGCCAGGGGCAAATTTAAACTACTGATTTCAGATACTGTCGATATTTAACGATATCTTAACTCAGCTTTCTGGCCTGGACAGTCTGAATCGCCTAGCTGCTATGTTGAATATACTGTTTGAAATGATGGTTTTGAGCGCTTAAGACTATCAGCATTTTTTAATGCCTTTTAATTTTTTACATAGTAATTTTTTATTGCTAATAACACTATGCTTAAGAAAACACAGCTTAAAGCTTGTTTGGTTTTCTTTTGTAGTAGTGTTTCAGAACAGCATTATATGTTATGTTATGTTATTAAATGAAAAGTTGAAGAGAGTGGTTCAAAGTGAAACCCTGGTGGCACTGACAAAAAAAAAMACAATGCTTTGAGCATAGATGCTATGAACAAGTAACATTGAAACTGTCAGTGTCACCAATGGGTTGCATGGCACTGAAATGCATTTGTTCCACAGGATTTTCCTTCTTTTACTTTCTCTTCTCCTCAGGTATTCTACTAAATGGCTTCTACTTTCCTCTGCTTCTGGAGAATAGCAAGYACTTCTTGTAAGCAGAGACACAGATCACTCATACACTGACTGCTGCTCCATAAAGCTTTTCTTTATTCATATCTAAGGGATGAGGGAGGACACCAAGCCAGTGCCTCCTCTTTGGGGACTGAAGGATCAGGAAAGGGCGGAAGAAGAGATCAGCATCGGCCTAGCATAACAAACGGCTGCCAGGGGTGGATGTTAACGGAGAAAGCCATGGAAGACAGTGCTGGAACGCAGCTCTGGGGCCCTGCTGGCCCCCTGAGCTTCCCCACTTACTCCTAGCACCCAAAGAACGTGCTCTGTGCATCTCCACAGATGTGTTCCTAAGAGGCTCTCTGCAGAGCCTGGCAAAAAGCGAAGCTGCTGCCCCAGCCTAACGCTCGGGCTCACACATCCTGTCTCCACAGGACACACAAGTGGTCCTTGGACCACAGTAGAAATTTCGAGATACCTGTTAGTGTTCCCAGATTTAAATTCTGCCCTCAGAACGTACAATGATGCCCATCACCATCGCTTGGCTGGTTACATTCATGCCTATTCATTAAGGTGGCATGATGCCCGCTCACATGGCAGCAGACTATTTTCACTGTGTTAAACTGCCAGGAAAAATAGGTTTAGAAGAGTAATTTGCAGTGTTGCAAGCCTCTGCTTCCCCTGGAGAATGACATTTTTCAGTGCTTTATTAACACAGGGTATCTGTTCTAACAGCCCTTGGCAAGTTACACTTCTACAAAAACATTGCTGGAAGCAGCAGACCGACCTAAATGACAGGTACGTACTGCTGAGACTGTGTTCTCCAGGCAACACAAGTCATAACATCAGAGAGATTTCACATGGATTATGACAATCTATCTGATCCGTGGCATGCCCATGTTTATTTTACAAGACTTCTGTAAGCACCAACCTGCCAAAAAGCACCCATGAGCAAGGGGCTCCACTTTTGAAAGGCCTCCTTCCATATGGCAACATAACCTATCTCAGATACTGCTCTCAAAAGCTTCTACATCCGCTCCAACATTATGAACTTCCATCCAGAGTCTTCAGCAGTAGCCTGTTGGATTTGGGTGTATGCTGGTTGCAAATAGCAACTGTGATGCTGCCCAACGGTGCTGGGCCAGCCACGTGGTTCTGACGAGCAAGACTTCCTGCTCAGCCCCTTAATCAACGAGGAAAATGGAGATCATTTACCTTGTGGCCAAGCAGCATCTTTATCTTGAACAGCTGGTTATTCTTTGTTTTACTTCATGCCTGCCTCAGCTCCGCAGTTTCACCCCAGCCTCCCACCAGGTTCCTACTGGAAAGCAAGGAGTGATCGTTAGGTCCACAACCCCTGGACYTCCTCAGAGACCACTGTGGCTTTGCTAGGCCTTAGTAAACCCGGTGGCATTCAGGAAGAAAAGCCCTTACTTCCGAGCAGACATTCTGTCAGCCCACATGTCAAAATTCTCCTTCAGAAATATTTCATGAAAACACTCCAGAAAAGTAAGAGTGTAGATACAAACAGGTAAGAGTGTAGATACAAACACACACTGTAGGAAAGAGATACCTGGATCAGGCAGCTTACACATTGCATGTGACAAGAAAACACCTGCAAGAGAAGCAGTCACACACAGGCAAGATTGTACCACTGTTTTTATTAGTCGCACAGAAACAGCATTTATGTACATAGGGGCAGTATCCATATAACATATGCTTCTCTAATTTCAGCAGATTTTGGTGCCTTGTAGTGTGTTATTTTACTGACAGTCAGTGCTATAGGCTTTTTCTTGGATGCGTAACACCATTCTCCGAGCATAAAAATCCCTGTATTCCTCAGGTAGCTCTTCAAGTGTTTTCAGGGCCCTGTCCAAGATTTGCATAGCTCTAGAGGCTGCGGTGGGATCCTTATTTCCATAAGTGTCACTTTTATCATAGCACTGAGAGGGAAGGTGCTTCCAAAAGACATTCACTCCCACTCCAAATTCCTCAGAAATTACGTTATGGAACCACAAAGCTGTAGAAAGAAAAAGGTCTAAAATGAAAATTAATATATATAACTTCCAAGCGATCCATAACAAGCACCAGAATCAGCCAAACTAAAAGACTCAACAAAGGAAAAGCCTCAACAACTTCCTTTTTTATTTATAAAAACAGAATCATTCCCCTAAAAGATTGCATTGTAACAAATTTTAAAAGTTCTTAACAATGTTTACATCTATCTCTGTAACTTTATGCAAAAGTAACAAACACTGAAGCCTAAGTGGTACTCAGATCCACAGATAAGTGTGTGTAAGATGAAACTGAGACACATTCCTTGCGCACTCATTCATCTACTCTAAAYGTCTATATGTATTTTTATTGAATTAGTCCCTTACCTTGCCCGATTGTCCAAACCCTAATGCAAACCTCCAGTATCAGTCAATATCTTTAAAAAATGAAACATGAGTGAGAGCTACTCGTTACTTACCTGGAATAAATAACACATCTCCCGCTTCCAGGTAACATTCATAGCGCTTAGCTTTTAGGAAAAGAGGGTATTTCTCAAAGTCTGGATTATCCACATCCAGGACCTGTGATTTAGAGCCTTTGGGAAGTTTTCAAAAACAAGAGACATTGTTACCCTCCCAAACAGTAATAAAGCATTCATTAACAAATTACTAGGAAGCTATAGTTCTTGAATCAGATATAATACTGGTTTATTGCTCTATAACTCTTCTAAAAACACGGCAAATTTGATGGCACTTCTTATTTACTGAGGAGACATATTCTTGTCTACTTTTCTGCAGCAGCTGCAATCTTATTAATACTAGAGAAAACTTCCGCTGGCATTTAAAATCRCATTTTAAACCCAGGCAGAGCACTGCACAGCTGCCAGTTAGGTGGTRGAACCACAACCTGACAGAGAAGGTGGGCTGGGTGCACTGCTCCTTKGCACATTTCCTAACCTGCCCCACTAAAATTCCTTATTTTAGCAAATGGCACCAGAGTAAAGACAGTCAGTGAATTCTTTTATACAAATTGCCAGTCAGTGATTTTTTTTTCCTGTAGCACGGTACTAGTCAATTAGGCAACTATAGTCACCAGATTCTGAACTGGATGCATGTAATATACATACCTGATAAATATAAATATGGTGCATCTTGAGGACTATACAAAACGACTCGCTTTTTCCCCGTTACTTGGATTAAGAAGTTATCCATTACCTGGAATGAGCATAGTTAGAACAATGTCAGCCAAGAGTTCAGAATGTCTCCAAATAATCTAGAATATCATCAGTGTAAAAAGTAAAATATTAAAATCTTCATGCGTTAAGAATTACCTGAAAGAGCATCTACATATAGAAGGAACCCATGCAAAAAAAAAAAAATTAGAATTTCTGCTATTTTATCCCTTAACTGCCTTTTTTTTTTTTTAACAGACATCATATATAATATAAAAATGTTTTCCAACAGCCATATCTTTTTTTTCCTTACAAAGGAATATTTGATCTCAAAACACAAAGACATACTGTATTTTAAATGCATAAAACAGAAAAATATAATGTATAATACATTTGAAATTCCTTTTCTTCAATACTCTACTTTATTTTGCTATCTTTTTACCAATATTTATTTTTCCCCAACTATAATACAAAAATTTTTACAATCAAATTTCTTCAAAAGTAGACCACATGAATTTGGAAGACAATCTTATTTATAATCTATTGCACTGTAGCAACAGAATCTATATAATTATCTACAGTTTTGTCTTCAGATTGAAAAATGAAGGTAATCTTTAGGACAAAAAAAAAAAAAAGTTACTTTGTCTTAGATTTTTAACTGAAATTCAAAATAAAACAGTAAAAAATCAAACAACTCTTAATCTCTTCCATATGGAATTTTAGGATTAGACATAAAAGCAGTGAAGTATTATGTCCACAAAATACCTCTATTTAAAATTTGCTACACAGAACATGATGCAATTTAAGTGTTCCAAATATACAAGTGACTCATAACAGATCTCTGTCAACAGAGATTTGCCACTTAGTATTTCAATCCTCCCGGATTATCTGGAACCTTTATGGATAAACACAGGCATTGCCTACATCATAGTGTGTCCATAGCTGCAATCCTGCTGAACTGATGCGGAAGACRCTAGAGAAAAACTGTTCCTTTTCAAAATACTCTGGGATCTGGATATCTTCTGCCAAGACAGGAAATTGTTTTCTGATATCTGCAATATCCTGAATCAAAAAGGACAGAACAGTTAGAAAAGCATGTGTGAAAACTGAAATCTGGAAGCAGCTGATAACCATTTCTCAGCTCAGGGGAACACGGGGCTGGAACTTCAGAAACAGCCACAGAACATTCAGCACTGGCAAAGAGCTGGAAATATTCATGYTTTTAATGGTCATCATCCTTTCAGTGTTCACTTGGTCACCAGCAATAAAAACAGACAGAATTATGAATATGCTTTGATCTATGACTGCTACAATATGCACTGAAGCAGCAACAGACCATCAGAAAACTCTTTTATTACGTTACAACACTAGCTAGACAATGGCAGGTGAAGGCTTCAGTAACTGCCTAAACTCTTGTGTAACAACATCTTATTTTAGACACTTAGGTTTAAATGTTCTGACCTAAATACAGTCACATGCAAAAGCCAACTGACCATAAATAAGTTGCATATCTGTACCACACAGATAGCAGAYGACAACAGGCTTTTAAACTACTATTTTTCAGTATCAAAACTGCAACCTGAGGTAACTGACCTGTCTAGGATCTTCACCCAGGGATCGCAAGTAGTACTTTTCATCCTGAACATAATACAAAAACAAAGTTATATTTTCCAATATAAATTACAAGCACACTTAAACAAATAGCCTGTGAAAATAAGTGGCACACACAACCTCAGCTACTCTGTTATCCTGCTTTCCACTACTGCCCTCTGTTGCTTACCTCAAGCAATGAAAAAAAATACATATTGACTGGCTGAATGTGAAGGAAAGTGAAGTGAGAGCGACTTTAAATCAAAACCTAACAGCTGCTTTAATATTGCTCTTTCCCACATGGATGCAAAGCAAGTACGGACTTTAACTTAAGCTCTTCAATACCCTGATGTGGGAAGCAGTTTCAACTGGCTTCAAAACACACTGCTTCCTATACAGATACGGAGCATGARGCGCACGTTCTCTTCCCTAGACACAGTTATCTAAGAATGAATATTCTGACCATTGCTTTGTAAAGGCAGCCCCACATGTGCTTCACAACAATTATGTTACAGTATTTCTGTATTTGTATTTTGATAGCACATACAGTCAAAACTCTRAAATGTCTTCGTGACATTTTCTTGCAAAACACCTAGCTTATACACTTATTTTAAATCAAGGCTTGATTTCTCAATTTGAAGCTAGAGCTTTTTTTCACATAAACTGTCTTTGATAACAGAAACAGGTTCAGTGAAGTTAACCATACTGTATATACATAAAACAGTTTCCAAGGAAAAATATTTTTTCCTGTTTCCACATCACAAAAAAACAAAACAAAACAAAACAAACAAAAAAAAACACAGTTAAAATTAAGATCAGGGACTTTGCTGGAGTTAGACCTTAAGTTACTAAGTTACAAGTCATCGTTTCTCCTCTACATCCTGGTAAAATAACTAAATAACTGATGGAAGAAACTGGAGCACTAAGGAAATTACCTCAGACAGAAAGTACTCTGTGTGTTTGGCTTCAGCTGCTCTCTGTACAAATACATCAAAAGGCAGAGTTCTGAAATATAAATATTAAAATTCACATAATGAATTAATGTAATAARACACAATCTAAATACAAAGTTTAAAATCAAACTTTTAATCAAAGTTTAAGCTCTCTTACCATATCTAGTATAAGCAAAAAAATACAATTTGCCTTTTGTTTTAAAAGAAAAACTAGTGACTAACCAGTACTCACAGTGAATGTTTGAATGTTCTAAAGGATAAAAATCGTACATGTACAAACCTTGCTAGTTCCATGCCCCTCTACAGACAGGACCTCTGGAGATCATCTAGTCCAACCCACCAGCTCAAAGCAAGGTCAGCTAGAACAGATCTTCAAGGATGGAGACTCCACGGCTCAATGATCCTCACAGTAAAATGTTTGTTTGTTTTAGTGTTTAATTTCCTTTATTTCTACTTGCACCCATTGCCTCTTGTCCCGTCACTCAGCATTCCTGAGAATGATCTGATTTCTTTAGATCGCCCCATCAGGTGTTTACATCCATTGACAAGCTCCTCCTGAGCTTACAGGGTCTCAGTGGTTTGAGTGATGGAGTTAAGAAAGATTTTACAGTAGATTAAACTCTGGCCTCCATCTGACAGTACTTGACCACTGGTAGACAGACCATTTCTGTAAAGGGTATCATTTTTTAGGCTTGGGTTTTGCCATTTCTGTAAAACTGCAGGGAAACTAAGCACTGAAGAAACCATGGCTGACCTAAAGGTGAGGCATCAGATCCAAAATGCTTTTAGGTAYATAAATGAAAGCTGAACCTTAAGAAGAAAAAGACAACAGAAAAACTAAACCACAATAGAATATAATGACAATTATGGGTTAAACTGTTACATCCTGCCCATTTACACTTTTTGCTGAAAGCAAAAGGAATTGCTTGTTCCTTACACCTCTCCACATCTCACCATCTCAGAGCAAGCTTCACTGCAGCTTAACCTGACGCAGGCTGGTGCTGCCACCGTCTGCCCTTGCTGTCTCGCCTCCCTACACAAGCACTGGCACTCACCTGAACGCATGGTCAAACTGCTCACAGAGCTAAAACAGCAGGAAAAAACCCTCAGATTTCTGCACCAGCTCACAGAGAGGTTGGTGCAGAAAGCAACACAAACAAGTGAGAAGCATCGTGTAACTTACAGTGGCACTGCTGTGGTGCTCACATCGGGTTAAACTCACGAGCTGCCCGTTAAGCCTTCAGTCCCTCCTCTTCTAGGGCTACTTACTCTCCAGATTAGACCAGCAGACTTGCCATGGAAAGTCTCCAAGCTGTCTAAATGTTTTGCGAAGAAGATGAAAGTATTTAATTCTTAACGGGGGCCAGAATCAAGCTCCAGCAAAGCACTTCTCTATACCTTATCATATACCTACATCCCCTGTCAACTGCCTGCTAATGTCACAGGAAGGGGTTTTATGGCAAGACAAAAGAATGGGGAGAAAGGGGAATGAAATAGGGAGGTAGGTCAAAATCATTCAAGTAGGACCTGATTTCAAGGGTTCAAAAGTTCAGTGTTCATGCAAGCAGAAAATAAAATGAGCATGATTAYGGGTTTTTTTTCCCTCCAGTTTGGAAAGGTCTGTAGTTTGTTTACACGTACAGCACATGCTTCTGCTTTCCTAAAATTTTAGCAGACTGAACACATCTTGTTCCCACTTAGGGAAAACAAATGACAATTAAAGTGAAGGCTTTTGCCCTTGAAGAAGAACAACGCAATAAGCGAGATCAGAGGAGCTCTAAGGAAATGTTTTGGCAAGCTACTCGCGGAGGGGAGGAGGCGGAGGGTCCCTAAGGCCCCCACGGAGATGAAAGGGCTGCTGCGGGTGGGTGTCCCGCGGGCTGCGCGCTCGGAGCGCTGCACACGCCAACGCCCAGGGGTTTGKGTTCAGCGAGCGACACCTCCCTGGGGAAACGCACTGGGGCGGGTGCCCGCCACACGGCACGTTCCCAGGGGCTCCGCCACGGCGGGTGTCGGAAACCAGCACTGCTCAGCAGCGCGGAGCAGACACCTCGCTGCGTGCTCAGCGAGGAACAGCACGGCATCTAGCATCACATTTCTTATTTATACCAGCGAATGCCACGCTCAGCTTCCCGCCGAGACTGCCGTCCAGGCCTCCCCGCATCCTGCCGCCGCGGGGCAGGGCCGGGGGGAGCCGCGGAGCCCCGCGCCGCGCTCCCGGCGCCGCGCCGTACCTGTACACGAAGTTCTTGCGCAGGAAGTCCATGCGCGGCCCCGGCGACACGTGCACGCGCACGGCGCGCCCGCCGCCGGCGCGCCGCAGGTAGTCCGCGCTCCAGCGCCGCGTGCACGCGCCCAGCTCCACGCCCTTCAGCACCACGGGCCTGCGCTGCGGGCGCCAACGGCACGCCTGGCACCGCCGAACGGCCGCCAACGGCCGCGGCGCGCGACCGTTACCGCCGCTACCGCGCGGCCGTTACCGCACGCTCGTTACCGCGTGACCGTTACGGCCCGGCCGTTACCGCCGCTACCGCGCGGCCGTTACCGCACGCTCGTTACCGCGTGACCGTTACGGCCCGGCCGTTACCGCCGCTACCACTTGACCGTTACCGCGCGGCCGTTACCGCCCGGCCGTTACTGCCCCGCCGTTACCGCCCGCACCCGCGGGTAGAGGTCGCGCAGGAAGCGCTCCCGCGTGGCCCCCGCCGCGCTCGCCACGGGCTCCGCCGCCTGCTCCCGCCGC